AATTTTGCTACTGTTATGGATCATAATGTAAATATCTGTGTTTCCCAATGGTATTAGGTGATCTCTGTGAAAGGGTCATGACCCACAGGTTGAGAACCACTGCCCAAAGGGTCAAGAACTACGGGTTGAGAACCACTGATGTAAAGTTGCCTCTGCTTTGTACAAGGGTCTTTGGCTGTCACCTACTGCACCACTAGCTCACACTCAAGTTCAGTGCTGTGGAATGCCTAAGTTGCCAACACTACAAAGGAAGTGAACTGAGGTTGTTGATCTGTCCTTGTCTAGCCGGAGGAATTATTGGTGCCAAATGTACTAAAATCAAAGATCTGGAGAGCATTCAGATGACAGTCAGGCTTTTCAACAAGCAGGAAGAGATTTGGAAGCCAGAATGGTGGCACACACCTTTAATCCCAGTACTTGGGAGGCAGAGGCAGGAGGATCTCTCTGAGGCCAGCCAGTGCTCCACAGTGAGACCCTGCCTCAACAAACAAAAAGATGAAGCAGATATTTGGGAGCTCTCATCAACAACTACTTTCTTCTCTGCCTGGTTGTAGCCAGGATGGTAGTAAAGCTCACGTCTTCCCATTCTACCACTACTGCCTACAAGAGAAGAAAACAGTAGTGGCCTCACCCATCTTTTGTTTTGTTTTCTGCTCAATAGCCTAGACTCGCCCGGAATAGTCTAGGATGTCTGCCTGGTGAGCCCCAGGGGTCACCTGCCTTTCCCTTCTCACTGCTGACACATGTCTACCTTATACCTGGATTGTTTTACTTGAATTTTGGGGATCAAACTCAGGTCCACAGGCTTGTAAGGCAAACTATCTCCCCACCACATTTTTTTTTTAAAAGACAATTTTAAAATGTGCCTAAATTTTCAGCCCATTCCTACACTAAATACCAGGTTTTATTTTCTTCTCTGCCATAGGCGCACCTTTTGGATACAGGCAAATTTAGTTTTGTGGTTTCTTGGTGGTTTGAAAGTCCATTGCTTGGGAAGAAATTACATCATGCCTCATACATATATTCATACTTATAACATACTAGGTATATTGTTTGTTGTTTTCAAATACTTGACTCTACTTTTCAACAGTTTTCTGAAGAACTAACTTGGGGAGCAATGCTACAAATTGGGTATAATATAAATACACCCTAGAATGTTTTGCTGTTTGTTTTCAGTTTAATTCAGTTGTTTTGTTCTTCATCTTCAGACTGTTCTCAGCATGATGAATTCTGTCCATTCATACTCTGGACATTTGAGTGTTATACTGTGAGATTAAACAGTCATCCTATGTAAGTGTGTACCATGTAGATCCAGGTTGGAGTATGTGTTCAGCTTCTAGTCAGGTCCTACTTCAGCAAAACAGAGCCCTGGCTCACACCACCTCCTTATAAACAGTGTGGAAGAGGAACTCCCCATGAGCTCCATGGACCTTAAGGCGCAGGAAAAGGGTCTGAAATAACATGCCATACTCTTTGGAGCCTTGTTTTGGGGAGTGAGGCTCATTGGACCTCTGTAACTTAATTTTAATAAGATAATGAGGTTTCTTTGTTAGGGTTTTTATTGTTGTGGTAACACCATGACCAAATAATGGGATTATAAGCATGTGCCACTGTGTTCTGCTGGATTTTTTTTTCCTTAATTTTCTTTACTTGGTCTTGCTAAGAGCAGATCCAGACATGTGAGACATCCAGCTTATTTATCCTCTGGCAGGTACAAGTACTTTAAAACATCAGCTAAAGGTTCCTCAGCCAAAGAATAATTTTGTGCCTGTGTCCTGTAGGCCTCCATTTCTAGTCTTGGAGTGGTGTCGGAGACAGAGTAAGAGGGCCGAGTGATAGGTAGTGGCTGTGAGCATGGAGAGGCATTCCTTTGTCTCCCTTGACTTGGAAAAGGTATTAGCTCTCATCTGCTAATGGAGGAAGGAACAGTCACTTCCCATAGCGAAGCAGGGAGAGGCAGTTTATAAGGGAAGAAGGGCTAGTGACCTTGAGACAGACAGGAGATGGAGAAACTCTGATACTTCTGAGAGTGCTATAGAGTGCCATTGGCAGAAAGGAGAAAGATAGGGGTATGGATTAGCAGTGAGCAGGGGTGTGATGTTTTCATTCAACTGAGTTTTAATTACTGGGGTTTGTTCATTTAATTTATAGTAGTTGCTATATTTCAATGAAACTAAATACCTTTCAATGTACTAAAATATTTTGAAATTAAAATACAGTTTATAATACCCCAAAATTTATATTTTATCTAGCATAAACATTTTGAGGATTAGTTGTGTAGTTCATTGAATTTAGTGTGTTTACAATCAAACCATGGCCATAGCTAACTCCATTTAAAAGAAAGGAACCTAACATTCACTTCTATTAATGGGATATTGCAATATGGTTAGTGTGTGATATATGTGTTTGACTTCTTTTACTGAAAATATGTTTTGGGATTTTTTTGTTTTTGTTTGGTTGGTTGGTTGTTTTTTGTTTTTTTGTTTTTTTGGGGTTTTTTTTTTTGAGGCCTGTTTATGTTCCTTGCATCTTTTAGTTCCTTGCATCTTTTAGCATGAGTTCTATGAAATCAGTCAATGTAGGAAAAAGTTACATATTGAAAGTGGTGAAAATGGAGCTGGAAAGATGGTTAAGAACACGTGCAGCTTTTGCAGAGGATGCATGCTTGGTTCCCAGCACCCACATGACATCTAAGAACTGGCTGCAACTCCAGTTCAGTAGATCTGATGGCCTTTTCTGGCCTTTAAGAGCACTAGGCATGCACATACATGCATGCAGGCAAGTACTCATACACATAAAAATAAATTAATCCTTAGCCAGCGAGGTGGTCCACACACACCTTTAGTCCCAGGCTGACGAAGGCAGATCTCTGTGGGTTTGAGGCCAGTATTGTCTACATAGTTCTGGGCCATCTAGGACTGCAGTGAGACATTGCCTAAAACACAAATTGTGAAATGTCATAAAAATGGTTGTGTTGATGTTAATTATTCCCTCACAGAGATTGAACTAACAGAGTCCTGCTTTACAAACCATGATTTGTAAAGCAGGAAGCCAAGATGGAGACTTGTTACAGACATTTGCAGTACTTAGGTTGGAAAGAAAACGAATGCATGCATTGCTTTCTTTGAATTGTTAAGTTTAGACTACACTCTTGACCATCTTTGTCAAAGCTAAATGATAGGACCAGACTAAACTACAGCAGAGGGATAGAGAGAGAGGATGGGAAAGTTTGTGTTGCTCTTGAAAGGAGTTTGTCTAATATGGTGTTGTAGAAAAATGGTGATTTAAATACTTGACCAGAACATTACTTCATGCTATTGACTTGATAAGAGTATCAGCTTCTTCTTGAGACATCTGTGTAAATACATCAAAGCAAAATGTGTTCCCTTCATAAATTCCACTCAATTAATGCACAAAAGATTCTCATTCAAAATCAAGTATCCACAGTGTTCATAAGGAATTACACCTGAAATAATTATTAGCAACCAGTACAATCTGGACTATTGTGAGGAAGAACTCCAGTGTAGAGATTTAAGTATCCTCCCACCCCGCCGCCACCACCACCACCACCACCACTATTTTCTTTTTTAATTGAGTAAAACCAAAATTTATTATAAGCCACAGTCGTCCTAGGGACCTCCATGCTATATATATAGCCTCCATGGTTCTGTGGGTTTTAGTCTGATTGTACTTTATTTTATATCTAGAATCCACTTATGAGTGAGTACACACCATGTTTGTCTTTCTGGGTTTGGGTTACCTCACTCAGGATGATTTTTTTCTAGTTCCATCCATTTGCCTGCAAATTTCATGCGCTCATTGTTTTTCTCTGCTGAGTAGTACTCCATTGTGTATATGTACCACATTTTTTTCATCCATTCTTCCGTTGATGGGCTTCTAGGTTGTTTCCAGGTTCTGGCTATTACAAATAGTGCTGCTGTGAACATAGTTGAGCATGTGTCTTTATGGTATGAATCAGCATTCCTTGGGTATATGCCCAAGAGTGGTATGGCTGGATCTTGAAGTAGTTCGATTCCTAATTTTCTGAGAAACCGCCATACTGATTTCCACAGTGGTTGTACAAGCTTGCATTCCCACCAACAGTGGAGGAGTGTTCCCTTTGCTCCACATCCTCTCCAACATTGACTGTCATTGGTGTTTTTGATCGTAGCCATTCTAACAGGTGTAAGGTGGTTTCCTAGAGTCGTTTTGATTTGCATTTCTCTGATGATTAAGGATGTTGAGCATTTCTTTAAATGTCTTTCAGCCATTTGTAATTCTTGTTTTGTGAATTCTCTGTTCACAAGGAATTACACCTGAAATAATTATTAGCAACCAGTACAATCTGGACTATTCCGAGGAAGAACTCCAGTGTAGAGATTTAAGTATCTCCCCTCCTCCCACCACCACCACTATTTTCTTTCTGTACGCCTCTGCAGGAGCTTTCAAACACTATCCCTTTCTTCTTTCCTAAGACCGAAGTAATCTCATATGTGGTTGATGGTAAATCACTCAAAGATTTGAAATGCTGGTCTTCTCGGACACACCAGTGTTTGGGAAGACTACCCAGTAGACATTGCATCTGGCCAGCTGTGTACTTGTTTGGTAGAAAGGGAAGCAGGGAGTGGAGCCCTCCTGCTTCTCTGCTTGGTCTAATGGCATGATTACATAGGAAGTTAGTCAAGTCCTGCTGGAAACATAAATCAGTTGGTGCCAAGACAGGTGATTCTTCATAGCTCTAATCACAGGAGAAAAGTAAAATCCATCTTGAGAATCCCTCTTTGGGGTTTATTTTGTGCTTGAGGTTTGGGGTAATGCTGCTTGCAGTATCATTCTCTTGCACAATAAGTAATTGTGACTTTAAACATACTCATCACTTACTACCCTCTCTTTGAACCAGAACAGAAAGACCCTACTTTATATATAGTCCTATGCTCAATAACGAATGTTGCCCTTTTGTGTTTTTTTTTTATTTTTTATTTTGTTTTGTTTTCTTCTAGGCTGTACTCATCACCAAAGAAAAAACTCACACCAATGCAGAAATCTGTTAGTCCGTTAGTTTGGTGCAGGCAAGTTTTGGATTACCCAAGTCCTGATGTGGAATGTGCTAAAAAGTCTCTTATCCACAAACTTGATCAAACTATGTCAGGTATGTTATCTATAATTTTACTTGTAAATTCATTCGTTTTCTTTGGCCTGAATGCATATACACTGTGCATATTTAGACGTGCAATTTTTGCTTGATAGCCTTTCTGAATCTCGCTGTATACCATCATGAAGGCTGGATTCATGTAATAGCAGTTTTTAAAAATCTTAGTCTCACTTTAATGGATTATGTCCATGAGATTATGAATTTTAATTTTTCTAATAATGACCTAAAACAGTTTCTAAAATGAAAAATGTTTGTCTTGTGTCACTTAAAATTATCTCACATACCACACTTTGGTAAATGGATTGTGCTGAATAATACATGTGAAGACCCAAGAGGCATCACCTCTTCACTCAAGAACTTGATTGCTCCCTGACTCTTGATGTTATTTAGCTCCCTGAGATCAGATCCCTCATCAGAATGGGGAAATGATAATGGATGTGAAAGAGCCTAGCATGGTTCCTGGCTTGTAGGAGGTGCCTGTTACTCATTTCCCTTCCTTCTCAGATGCTTCTTTCTTTTCTTTTTTACACTTGATATTTTAAATTGCCTTTATACTCTTCTAACAGCATTCATAACACTTACAAACTGTGTTTGTGGCTGTTTGTGCTGTTTAATATAACATGCCAGTGTGGGCAGAAATAGAGCACAAGTGTTGTCACTCGTTCTTTTCTTTAAGGTTTTTTTTTTTTTTTTTTTTTTTTGGTTTTTTGAGACATGGTTTCTCTGTGTAGCTTTGTGTCTTTCCTGGAACTCAATTTGTAGGCCAGGCTGGCCTCGAACTCACAGAGATCCACCTGCCTCTGCCTCCCGAGTGCTGGGATTAAAGGCATGCACCACCATGCCTTAAGTTTTTTTTTAAGATTTATTTATTTATGTATATGTGCTCTGTTTGCATGTATGCCTGCATGATGAAGAGGACATCAGACAGAACAAGGTATCAGATTCCATTACAGATGGTTGTGAGCCATCATGTGGTTGCTGGGAATTGAACTCAGGACCTCTGGAAGAGCAGCCAGTGTTCTTAATCACTAAGCCATTTCTCCAGCCCCTCTCTTAGTCTCTTTTAAAACTCATGATTTATGAAATATGAATTGCAAAGCATCATGAGTAATTCTGAATAAGTTTTCTTTACCTTTTTTTATATATGTGTATTTATATGTGGTATTCATGAGAGTGTGTACATATGTGTGTTGATACAGTTACATGCATGTATGTATGTGTATATGCATGTGGAAGCCAAAGGTTAACATTATGTTGGCTTTGTTAGGGTATCTATTGCTGTGATAAAACATCATGACCAAAAGCAATCTTGGGAGGAAAGGGTTTATTTCAACTTATAGTTGCCCATCACCACGGGAAGTCAGAGCAGGAACCTGGAGGCAGGAGCTGATGTGGAGGCCATGGAGGAGTACTGGTTTCTGGCTTTCTCAGCCTTCTTTCTTACACCACCTAGAAGAACCAGCCCAGGAGTAGCATCGTATTGTCCACAGTGAGCTGGGCCCTCCCACATCAATCATCAGTCAACAGAATGCATCACAAGCCAGTCTGGTAGGGGCTGTTTGTCAGCAGAGGTTCCCAATTCCAGTTGACTTCAGCCTGTATCAAGTTGACATAAAAACTAGCAGTACACGTGTCTTCCTCAGTTGCTGTCCACCTTAGATTTTTGAGACAGGATTTCTCACTGAAACTTTTAACACACTGATGCAGCTATGTTGGCTGGCCATGGAGCTCTAAAGATCTACCTTTCTCCACCTGCTTCAGCACTGGGTTTACAAATGTGTATTGCTGTGCTCAGGTTTTTCTGTGAGGGCTGGGGGTCTGAACTCAGGTTCTTGTGCTTGTAGACACTTAAAAATTAAAAAAATAATCTGTGTGCATGTTGTGTAGAGCCCACAGAGACCAGAAAAGGGCATCAGATCATCTGGAACTCAAATTACAAGTGGTTATGAGCCACCATGTGGGTGCTAGGAACAGCACCAGGGTTCTCTGCAAGAGCAGCCAGTGCTCCTCTTAACCACTGATCCATCCCTGCAGCCTGCAGCCCACTTGTTTTTAGTCTGTATTTGCATTACAGCTGTGTGGTTAAAAATGTCAGATTTGGCCTTATAGACGTGTGTGTTCTTTGGTTAGCGTTGCAGAGGAAGGACTAAGTAAACTTGGCATGCTGTAAGTAACGACTATTTTGTAAGTAATGGCTATTCTGTGCAAATGACTTAAGGAAGTAACTAGAGAGCTGCAGAACCTGAGTCTCTTCATCTCTGTAAGGAAGATGAAAAACAAATAGCCTATATGTGAGTTTCAAAAAGGGGTTGGCTCAGTATGAGTTCCTTTAGAATCATATTCTGGAACTTGATTTCCATTATATTCCATCTGTGATCGAGTGAAATAGGTTGTTATAAATCTGTAGACAATGTGAAATAACTAAGTTTTACTCAGATGATATTATTAGACATTCATAAGAGTATTCTAGGAGGATGGGGAGATAAGCCAGTGTTCCACAGCAAGCGTGAAGACTTGAGTTGAGATCCCCAGTTCCTGAAAAAGTCGAGCATACCATGCATGTGCGTGAAGTCAGAGCTGTGACTGGAGAAAGGGGATTTCTGGGGTCTGCTGGCTGCCAGTATAGTGTCAGGTTCAGTGAGAGACCCCCATCTCAAGGAGTAAGGCAGGCAGAAAGTGATAGGACACCCCTACTTGTTAGCCTTCTACACATGCACTGATACACATGTCCACATAGAACACACACACACATTGCACCCAGGCAGCTCTGGACAATATATGAATGAGTGGGCAGGACTATGTTTGAGTACAGTTTGATTTTCAAACAGGGAGTCGCCTGGATTTGGCTTGCAGCCTGTGATTCTCCAGTTCTTGGTTTAAAACAGAGGGAACATTTGCTGGTTACTAACTACCAACCTAGACTTGTGGGGTGAGAGCAAAGCTGCTCTATCTCAAAAACAGCAATTTTGAATGAAGGATTCTTTATTTTATTATAACAAGGGTATTAAAGACTAAAGAGAGCTGGGAGGTGGGTGGTATGTATCTGCAATTCTAGTATGTGCTGAATAGAAGACTGAGTTCAAAGCCATCCTGGATTATATATCAAGTTCTAAATAAGCCTGGGCTACAGTGAAGTGAGACTTCCCACATCCATCATAGCTTAGTCCTGGAAACATGACTGACATTTACATGGATGCTTAGGGATCCAGACTCTGGCCCTCTGCTTGCACAGCAAGCCCTTTATCTACCAAGCCACCATCTCCCAGCTTCTCCTTTGAGTTTTTAGTGGAGACTTAACTCCAAAAGCCTGATTGAGGCATGGGCAGCTGTGTCAAAATAAGATTGTGCAGAAAGGGTATGATAAACTCATTAGGGAAGCCAGCAAAGACCCCTTCTGAAATAGGGTCTTAATCTATAAGATAAGGTAGGTTAAAAAAATCTTTATACCACCTCCAAGACAGAAAGGGAAGGAAGGGAGTGTGAGTTTCTGAGACTGACCTGGAAGAAAAGAAATTCTGATTTCTATTGCTTGGGCTGGGAGGGGTTTATAAGGTAAGAACTATGTTTAAAGTCAGAATATATTTAGCATCATGGGGTGGCGGGAAGTTATGAGTAATAAAAGGGATAAACAAGATATGAAGAAATAAAAGAGAAGAAAGCATTAGTAGTGATTTTTAGGTTTCCCATTTGTGTGGCAGGACATTGTCTCAGTTACTCCCCTATTGCTGTGGAGAGGCGCCATGACCAAGGCAGCTTCTAAGTGTTTCATTAGAAACTTGCTTACAGTTCAAAGGGTTAGTGAGTCTCTGTGACCATCCTGGTGGGAGCATGGCAGCAGGCGTGCATGGCCCTGGAGCAGTGGCTGAGAGCTCACATAGTATTTGAAAGTCTGAGGTTGAAAGATTGATAACTGGAATGGTGTGGGCTTTTGAGAGCTCAAAGCCCACCCCCAGTGACACACCTCCTCCAGCAAGGCTTCTCCTCCTAATCCTTCCCAAACAGTTTCACTAACTGGGGACCAAGTAGTCAAACAAATGAGTGTATAGAGGCCATTCTCATTCAAACCACCACACTAGTTTAGAAGAAGGACCTCCCGTAGTTCCCCTAGGAGAAATTGACTTTAGCAGGAAGATCATGAGTTGGATTTGGTATGTGGACTCTAGGATACATTGGTCATACTCAAGGGGAAGTGTTCAAATTAAAGCTCAGAGGAAAATTCAGGACTGAGAACAAATAAGGGGAGTCTTTGGCATATTGATGCTCATTAATGTTGTAATTATTTGATGTTTCACAGGAGGAGTACAGCATGCTGGGGATTTTAGTAAGCAAGGAAAATGTAATAAAGTAGAGGAGACTGAAATTAGCAGTTGTGGATTAGCTCAGGTTGACATTTCTGTCATCATGCTGCATAGTAGTACATAACAAACACATACAAAATGTGGTGTCTCACAGAGACTAAGTGCACATTCACACGGTCTGTTAGACAGGGAAAGGACCCGAAGACCTTTATTCTTCCTCCCCAAATCACTGTTCTGTCAGTAGGCAAACCAGAGCTTCAGCCGTCTAACTTGTTTTTCTTTATTGATCTTTCCAGTTTTTAATGTCTGTCCCTTTCTCTTTTGTTCATTCTGATTTTCTATCACTGTTTATTGCCTAGTCTAGCCCATTAATCAGATTTCCATCACCTTTCCTCTGATAGGTTTGGAACAAAGTGCTCTTTCCTCAAGATAATCCCTGAAGCTTTAGCATTGCTACTGAATATTTTGATTCAGGACTATCACTTTGGCACCAGCTACTTTTTCCTAAGCTGCTTCTTCCTGTTCTTTACCACTGTAGGCTACTCATTCCTTTAGCACATGCTACATTTTAAAGATCTCCCTCTCCCCAGCCCTTGTCTGTCTGTTCTCTACTATTAGCTTATGTTTGTAATATTGAAAAAACTGGATGGAAGGAAGAACTATCCATTTAAGGACTGATTTTTCTTGTATATGATTTCACTTGGTGTCTTAGACCCAAACTGTAAGACCAGGCTGGTCTTGAATTTGTAGAGATCCCGCTCCCCTCCCGCCAGTCCTCTTTCTCTTCCTAACTAGCCCCACTTCATAGCTGTGTGTGTGTGTGTGTGTGTGTGTGTGTGTGTGTGTGTGTGTGTGTGTGTGTGTGTGTGTTTTCCAATGAGATTCGTTATATTTGTTAACAGGAGTGTGGAAACCTTACTAGTAGCTATCACTGAGGCAAAATGTCTTAGCATCCCCTATCACCTATTAACTGCATCGAATCCCCTAGGAGCGGTGGGGTCCCCTGAACCTCTCTTCTGTCCATGACAGGGTGTTGACAGCTGAATCATGCAGAGCTCCCATGGGCAGTCACAGCTGCTGTGAGTTCAAGAGTACAACAGCCTTGTTGTGCACAGGAGCCAGCACTTCCACATCCCCCGGCCTCCAGCTCTTAGGTTCCCTCCACACATTCTGCCGTGGCCCCTAAGCTCTGGAGGGTGATGTAGATGTCCCGTTTGTGCCTTAGCTCTCAACAGTCACTTACTGTCAGCACTTGGACCAGTTACAAGTCTAGTTACTGCTGACTACTGTGAAAAGCTTCTCGACAAAGCTGACGGCAGCAGCACTAATCTACGGACAGGAACACAGTGATGTAAAAGACGATTTAATGGTACATCGTGTCCGAAAACTGTCTGAAATGGTGATCTTTTCCTGGTTACTAAATTTGATTTTCTTCCTTTTCATTAATGCAGCTCTCAAGAGGCAAAATTTATACAATAATCCTTTCAACTCTATGAGTTATACAAGTCCTTATAGCCCAAATGCCAGTAGCCCTTACAGCAGCGGCTTCAACTCTCCATCCTCAACACCAGTGCGACCTCCTATAGTCAAGCAGCTTATACTTCCTGGAAATTCAGGTAAGGAGTGGCTTTACCTAATGGTCCTGTCTCAGAAAGAACAATTCATCACAGGGTTAGGTTCATTTTACTTAGGAAACCCTGAAGCAGTAAGAGAGAATCTCTGAGATGGACTGTTTTATGCTAGTTTCTGTACTGAGTACTAAGGGTACAAAAGCAAGTCAGTGGCTGTGCATTATCTGCATGCCATTTTCTTTGGGGGTCTACTTAAATCTGTTTTTTAAATTAGTATTTAAAATCTGGGTAAAGTAAACAGGACCACAAACTTGATTCCTTTAACCAATAAAGCCTTATTTACAGCCTGATGGGGTTGTTTAGTCTACAGACCTGTTTTTAAGAGTTGTAGTAAGCATTGGTACTACAGTTGAGTCCTAGCATATGGTTTAATATGATTAATGTGCATATGGCACATTTGTGCCCAGAGCAATAGGTGCTGTTCTCGGCGTGAGGAGGACAGACTACTGTGGCTTGGGCGTCTGTTCTGGTCTCCTGCTACTGACACTTCTCTTGGGTACCGTAGTCTTCTCTAACTCATCACATCACTCTTACTGCTTTCTTTGATAACTTGTGAGTGTGCTGTATAGCTGTGGGTGTGTGCATGTGTGTGCACTGCATGGGGTGTCCACAGGTTGACACCAGGTGTCTCTTTCATTTTCCACCTTAGTTTTGAGACAGGCTCTGGCCGATGAGCTCCAGAAACCCACCTGCCTGCTGGCCCCTTGTGCTAGTTTACAGACCCTGCTGCTCCTCGGTGCTGTATAGCAATAGGGGCTGACCTTTAACCTCGAAGAGGCAACCAAGGGCAACAGCAGTAGTTGATACTGTTTTGGGAGTCACTTGAAATATCCTGAGCAACCATCTGAATGGAAGTTTCGTCGTTGGTTCCTGTCGGGGAGCATTGTTAGCCCAAGTGGCTTAGCTTCCTTTCAGCTGTCCTGTCTATCTCTATATATGTGTACACATATGCATATGTTATAGTACATATGATTGTAGATGACCTCTATATATGTATACACATATGCATATGTTATAGTACATATAATTGTAGATGAC